TGCCACTGTACCTAGAGTTTAAAAAATAAAATAGAGGGCTAGGAAGGTAGCTCAGTGGTAGAGCACTTGCCTTGCATGCATGAGGCCCTGGGTTCGATTCCTCAGTACCATATAAGCAGAAAAAAGCTGGAAATGACGCTGTGGCTCAAGTGGTAGAGCGCTAGCCTTGAGCTGAAGAGCTGTGGGACAGCACCCAGGCCCAGAGTTCAAGCCCCATGACTGGCAATAAATAAATAAATAAAATAGAACAGTGTTAGAGGACCAGGCATAGCTAGAAGGATTTCATCAGTAGTACTTCTCTAGACAAAATCTTGAGACATTACCCAAAGTATAGCTAATAAAATAAATAGCCGGGCGCTGGTGGCTCACGCCTGTCATCCTAGCTACTCAGAAGGCTGAGATCTGAGGATCACGGTTCAAAGCCAGCGGGGGCAAAAAAGTCTGTGAGACTCTTATCTCTAATAAACCACTAGAAAACCGGAAGTGGCGCTGTGCCTCAAGTGGTAGAGCGCTTGCCTTGAGCTGAAAAGTTAGGGACAGTGTTCAGGCCCTGAGTTCAAGCCCTATGACTGACAAATAAATAAAGAGGGTTTGGGGGAGTTGTGGCTCAGGTGGTAGAATGCATGCCTAGAAAGCTCAAGACTCTGAGTGCAAATTCTGACACTAGTCATCACCATTATCATCACCACCACCACCAGCATCATCATCATCCTAGCTACTCAAGAGGCTGAGATCTGAGGATCACGGTTCTAAGCCTGCCCGGGCAGGAAAGTCCATGAGACTCTTGCCTCCAGTGAGGCAGCAAAAAGCTGAAAGTAAGGCTGTGGATAGAGTTCTAAAGCTCCATCCTTGAGAGGGAAAAAAGAAAGAGACAGAGGCCAGGCCATGATTTGGAGCCCCAATACCAGCGCACACACACACACACACACACACACACACAGAGGAATCCTAGGTAGCAGACAGAAGGGGTTTCATTTGAACATGCAGTTTGAACATGCATTTGAACATGCATGTGTGTGTGTGTGTGTGTGTGTTAGTCCTGGGATTTGAACTCAGAGCCTGGGTGCTGTCTCTTAAGTTTTTTAGCTCCAGGTCAGCATGCTTTCCCTTGAGCCACACCTCCATTTCTGGCTTGTGGTTTTAAGGGGGTTTTTTAAGTTTATTTTTGATGATTAATTGGAGATAATGAGTCTCACAGACTTTTCCCACCCAGGCTGACTTCGAACCTCAGATCTCAGCCTCCTGAGTAGCTAGGATGACAGGCGTGAGCCACTGGCTCCTGGCTAACCTCAATCACTTCCTTGATTTCTCTTCCCCGAGCACCCAGGACACCCCTGAGGTAGTTGGAGCTCACGAAGGAAGACAACAAACAAACAAAAAGATAAAGGAAGAAAAGAAAATTTCAGAGAGTATGAAAGAGATTTCCGCGCTGGGAAGAATTAAAGCTTACTACTATGAGACGATTGCCCAGACCAGTCTTGTTTTTTGCTAAGAAAAAGGTTAGAAAATGTGAGAAGGCCTCCTCTGCCCCCCTTTGCCCCCTCCCATCCTTGAAGCCTGGTTGAAAGATGGGAGACAGAACTGTTTGGTCAGGCAGTTCCCGATGTGACCACCAGGTGGTGGTATCATCTCAAATAGCCTGTCCCCGGGGGCGGGGCCTGCGCCAGGGGCGGGGCCTATATGTCATCATGGGCGGGGCCTTGTTGGAGATGGGGCCTACACAGGGGTGGGACGTCACCGTGGGTGAGGCCTTACTGGGGGCGGGGCTCGCGGTGGGCGGGGCTTGCTCCAGGGGCGGGGCCTGCTCCTTGGTGTTCACACCTGGCTCAGTTTTCCACCTGCCACAGTTCTTGAATCTGTTGGAATCGCATCCTACAGTCTGATCCTTGACACAGGCTTTTCCAAGCCGGTACTGGGGACTTGAACTCAGGGCTTGGACACTGTCTCTTAGCTTTCTCAGCTTATTTATTTATTTATTGAATCTCAAGACTAGCGCCCCCTTCTTCGGCCTTGGCTAAATTGTCCATGGAATCCGCTTTTCTTAAATCTTGTATGTGTGCTGGTCCTGGAACTAAAAGGTCTGAGTGCAAATCCCAGTCCTGGTGCGCACACACACACACACACACACACCTGATGTTGATGATTTGCTTGTTCATCCCCAAAAGAGGCCACACAAAGGGGAGGGGGGGAGCCAGTGTTATGCCCGTCTGGGGCTCAGCAGCCACTTGAACCCCAGGAACGTCGAGGCCCTTTCCAAAGAGAAGAGGCCGGAAGGGGGGCTACAGTGCCCCTCCCTTGATGGGCTCCTCACTAAGTGGAGTCTTCAAATGAGCTCCCTGGCTTTCCACAGAAGCTCCCCACACCCCAAGAATGCATCGCCCTGGGTCACTTCACTATGGCGTCCCCTCCCGAGCTGGGGACCCTCTGTGACAGCGTCCTGGAGCTCTCAAACCTACGCCCCGTTCAAGGGGAGCTCTGGAAACTTCACCCCTAAATGCACAGAATCTGCCTCTCATTCTTCCAGACCCCATTCCAGCCTCCTCGGCCTGCCCTCCCCCCGCTCCTGAAAACAGTAGGGACCAAAGAAGGAAAGAGAAGGGAAAAGAAAGGGGAAGGGAAAAGAGAAAGAAACAGGAAGGCCAGAGCAGCAGATGAGAGGGAGGGAAAGGAAGACTCCCCCCCCCCCCCAGAAGTCCTCCACTGGCCCGCCCTGGGTCTCTGCGCCCCCTTCCATCAGCTCCCACACCCCAAGAAGTCTGGGAGCCCCCTCCCTTCCCCCTCCCTGCCCACCCAGGAGTCCCAAGCCGCGGGGGTACCAGGGTGATGAAACCCGCCTGGTGTATTGCTGCAGAAGGGCGGGGACTAGGGCGGGCTGGGGTGGGGGGGTAGGGGGGGTGCTGGTACCCCAGGGGCTCACCTGTTCCCCAGCAGCGAGAGGGAGGGGCATGCCAACCCCCTCTCCTGCCTGTGTCCCCCCCCCACAGGCAGTGGATGGCAGCGATCGCCCCCCCTCCCCGGCCTTCCCCCCCCCTCAAACACTAGTCTGGCTGTCGCCCCCCTCCCCCCCGCCCCCAGAGCCAGGCCTTGGGTTGACAAGGCCTGGAGCAGTTCCGGTCCCCGGGCCAGGCCGAGGCGTGAGTGTGCACACGTACACACTCAGCAGGAAGAAGAGGCGATCCAAGGGGCGCCCAACTTTCTTCCAGGCTTCCTCTGGCCTGGAGGGGGAGGGGGCGGGGAGGGAGGGAGGGAGGAGGGATGGGGGAGAAGGGGGGGGGAGTTACCTAACAAGATCACCATCCTCATCATCACCACCCACCACTGGCCAGAGACACACGGCCAGGCAGAAAGAAGCGACCCTTGTCTCCAGATGTGACCTTGTATTTGATTGCATTGTATTTTTAACCACTTCTGGGCCTGAAGAGCATAAAAGCAACCCCAGGGAAGTGTGTGTGTGGGGGGGGGGGGGGGACAGCCCCCAGCTGGTGGCTCACACCTGTCATCTCCAGCTACTCAGGAGGCTGAGATCTGAGGATTGTGGTTCAAAGCCAGCCTGGGCAGGAAAGTCTATGAGACTCTGATCTCCAATGAACCACCAAAAAGCCGGAAGTGGCGCTGTGACCCAAGTGGTAGAGTGCTTGCCTTGAGTGGAAAAGCTCAGGGACAGCGCCCAGGCCCAGAGTTCAAGCCCCAGGACCAGCACTAAAATATAAAAATTAAAAGTTTGTTTTCCCACTGTCCTCTGGACTGGTAGGAGGGGGGTGGGGGCTAGACAGGGCACCCATAAAACAGAGCAAAAAGACAGCTGGATGGTGGGGCAGCTGCTAAGCGGAAGACTTTGGTCTAGGGACCACTGTTCCTATGTTCAAGATTGGGGGTGAGGGGGTAGGGAGGGTTGCAGGGATTTGAACTCAAGGCCTGGGTGCTGTTCCTGAATTTTTCCCCTCAAGGCTGGCTGGCGCTCTACCCCTTAAGCCATAGCTCTGGCTTTTTTTCTTTGTTGGGTCATTGGAGATAAGAATCTCACCGGGACTTTCCTGCCTGGGGTGGCCTCCAACTGGGATCCTCAGCTCTCAGCCTCCTGAGGAGCTGGGATTCTAGTGAGCCATCTGCATCTGGCTTTAAGCTGTTTACTGTTACTGCTGCTGTTGTTGTTGTTAATGCCCAGTGGCCCCCTATATGGCCAGATGTTAGTCTGAATCTATCCGGGCCTGGGGAAATCTCACAAAATCCTTAACCAAGCCAGGTGCAAACCTGGGACCAGAGAGGGTCAGCAGCTGAATTGGATCCTTGCCTGGAGAAGCTGTGTTCTGCCTTGATTTTACTTGCTTTTTGCTTGATTTTATTTTGCCTTATTTTGTTTCCCTTTCTTTTGCCTTATTTTACTATGTCATTTTACCTTACTTTGTTTTACCGTTTCATTTTACTTTATCTGCTTTCGATCTTAGTTTACTATTTCACGTTATCTTATTTTACTAGCTCACTTTACCTCCATCTCGCTTTACTATTTATTTCCTTAGCTTACGTGTGCCCCCACTCCCCTCTTCCTGCCCTCCCCCCTGCCCCCCGCCCTCCCCCCTCCCTCTCCCCCCTCCCCCCCCCCCCCCCCCCGCGTCCCCAGCGCTCTCGCGCCCAGGTGGGGGGGGGGCCGGGGGAAGAGCGCCGCTCCCCCCGCCGCGGGAGGCCCGGCCTCGGCCCCGCCCCCGGCGCCGACGTCACGGCGGCGGCGGCGCCTGATTGGCCCAGCGGCCGGGACAACACCTGCTCGTCTCCTTCACCCGGCTGACAGCGGAGCTTGCGCGGCTATTTGAAGCCCGGCGCGGCCGCGGCCCGGCACTGGCGGCGGCGCACGGCCGGGTCACGTGGCTCTCCGCGGGCCGCGGGGCGGGGGGGCGCGGGCGGGGGCGGGGCGGCGCCGGGCACCGGGGCCCCGGGGCCCGCGGAGATCCGGCCGCGCGGCGGGGCGGGCGGGCGGCGCGGAAGCAGCGCGGGACCCCGGCGCCATGCGCGCCGGGCGGCTGGGCCCCTGCGCGACCCTGGCGCTGCTGCTGGCCACCCTCGACCCCGCGGCGGGCACCGGCGCCACCAGCGCCCCCGACGGGCCCCCCGAGCGCGGCGCCCCGCAGAAGGGCCGCCTGTCCCTGCAGAACACAGGTACGGGTGCGGGGACGGGGTGCGGGGACGGGGGACGGGGTGCGGGGACGGGGGACGGGGTGCGGGGACGGGGGACGGGGTGCGGGGACGGGGTGCGGGGACGGGGTGCGGGGACGGGGGACGGGGTGCGGGGACGGGGTGCGGGGACGGGGGACGGGGTGCGGGGACGGGGGACGGGGTGCGGGGACGGGGTGCGGGGACGGGGGACGGGGTGCGGGGACGGGGTGCGGGGACGGGGTGCGGGGACGGGGGACGGGGGTGCGGGGTGCGGGGACGGGGTGCGGGGTGCGGGGACGGGGTGCGGGGTGCGGGGACGGGGTGCGGGGACGGGGGACGGGGTGCGGGGGTGCGGGGACAGGGGTGCGGGGACCGGGTGCGTGGAGCCGGTGCGGGGACGGGGTGCGGGGACGGAGGACGGGGGGCCACGGGCCCCGCGCGCGGATTCGGGGAACCCGGGACCCCTGTGGGCCGCGCGGTCTCGGGGGGACCCCCGACCCCGTGGGTCATGCGGACTCGGGGGGATCCCCGCCCCCCGTGGGCCGCGCAGACTCAGGGGATCCCCGCCCCCCGTGGGCCGCGCAGACTCGGGGGACCCCCGTCCCCCCGTGGTTCATGCGGACTCGGGGTGACCCCTTTACCCCCGTGGGTCATGCGGACTCGGGGTGACCCCCGCCCCCCGTGGGCCACGCGGACTCGGGGTGACCCCTTTACCCCCGTGGGTCATGCGGACTCGGGGTGACCCCCGCCCCCCGTGGGCCGCGCGGACTGGGGGGCCCCGGGAGCGGCGCCCGCACCCCGCACGTGCTCGCCCGCCGCCGGTGGTGAAACCTCCCTGGGACTTGTCACCGCCCCCCTCGGGTTTGGGGGTGACCCTCGGGGTGGTGAGGGACCCCGATCCTCCAGGCCAGCGCCGAGGGGCGACACCCCCGGAACCGGGCTGACATCCTGTACCGTCCCCCCACACCCCACACCCCCCCACACTCACAAGCCGGGAACTTCGCCTCCCATTGGCCGGCCCCTCCCCCCAAAAAAGGTGCCTGACACCCCAGAACTTTGCTCTGATATCTAGAAGTTTCTCCGCCCGCCCCCTGCCGCAGCACCCGCATCCTTGGCTCTGCAGCCCCCCCCCCGTACCCCGGTTGTATTTGGGGGATGGGGGGGTCGTGCGATCTCACGCATGCAGACACCTTGGAGCCTCCACCAGGCCCCCCCAGCCCGACCCTCATCTGTGGAGCTGCAGCCTGAGCCCCCCCCTGCACCCAGGGACTCCCCCCACAAATCCACCCCCCCACACACACACACACTCTCCTCAGCTGAAGGCCCGTTTTTCAAACTCCGACCCCGCCCTCCTCCCAAAATGTACTTTTCTGATGTAATTTTGTGGTCGGCTTAAGTCAGAAAATTGGGGGGGGGGGGGAAGCTAGGCCAACCCTGACAGTTCATTCCCCCAGGGCTGTCTCCTCCTTTCTGCACCAGGATGGCCACCCTTCCACCTGGAGAAGCTAGGGAACCCCCCCCCCCAAACACACACACCACCACCACCAGATCCCTAAATTTAAAAGGAGAGGGGGGCGTATCTCACTGGTGGCCTGGCTAGCCCCCCCCCCAGTCTCCACCCCCCCACCCCAGCCCTGTGAATACCACAGCTCGCTTCCCTAGCCTGGTATTTTTAATGTGGATGGTTTGGAGACACTGCCTTAATAGGAATTTTGTTTTGATTTTTAGGTGTTGAATCATTTTTAGGTGCCTTTTAGGCCGGTCTCCTTTCGGGGGGTCAGGAAGGAAATGGCTGGGTTTGATGGCAGAAGTCTCCTTCTCCTTGACGAATACAGTCTTTGTCCCCAAAGTCTTATTTTTGTCTGTGGTTTAAAGACCTGACATTATTATTTTTCGACCTCTCCAACCAAGTATTCCCACACCTACTTTATAAAACAAGGAAGGAGTCAGGGTACAGTGGCTCACGCCTATAATCCCTGCTATGCAGGAGGCCGAGATCTGAGGATCACAGTTCGAAGCCAACTCTGGACAGGAAAGTCTGTAAGACTCTTACGGCCAATAAACCACCCGAAAAGCCAGAAGTGAAGGTGTGGCTTAAAAGGTAGAGCACCAGCCTTGGGTGGAAAAGCTCAAGGGACAGCACCCAGGCCCTGAGTTCAAGCCCCAGGATCAACACCAAAAAATAAAAACACAAAGGAGAAGAGTCTCTTTCAATTGTGACTTTTTTGGGGCTAATTTTTGCAAATAACTACACATATTAACGTTCTCATGAGTAGTAGTCAAAATTTTAGACCACAGAGTTTTTATTAATCTCCCCCCTTAATTTTCCCATGAGTTCTTGCTAACTTTTCTTTTTTTCTTGCTTTGTGTGTGTTTGTGTGTGTGTGTGTGTGCATGTATGCACACACATGCCAGTCTTGGGCCTTCAGTTCAAGGCCTGGGCACTGTCCCTGAAATCTTTGCATAAAGCTAGTGCTCTACCACTTGAGCCACAGCTCCACTTCCAGGTTGGGGGTAATTAATTGGACATAAGAGTCTCAGGGACTTTCTTGACTCCAGCTGGCTTCAAACCTCAATCTGCAGATCTCAGCCTCTTGCGCAGCTCAGATGACAAGTCATGAGCCACCAGCCCTTGCTAACTTTCTATGTGCGTGTCATAGCGTGGATGTGGGTTTTGCATATATTTGCATGTCATTTGCATATATTTGAATGTACTTCCGTGTCCTTTTCCTTGCAGCGGAGATTCAGCGGTGTTTGGTCAACGCAGGCGATGTGGGGTGTGGCGTCTTTGAATGTTTTGAGAATAATTCGTGTGAGATTCGGGGCTTGCAGGGGATTTGCATGACGTTTCTGCACAACGCTGGAAAATTCGATGCCCAGGTAAAAAAAAAAAACTCCATAGATCACAAAAATATGTCTTGATTATTATGACTGTTTTAAGTAGTTGTACAAAGAGATTTCAATTCAACACGTCCATTAACAAACCCAATGCATCTTGATCTGCATTGGAAATAGTCATTGGAAAGATTGGATTTTCTAGAAAGTTCTGAGAGCTGTCCGATGTTAAGGGTCTCGCCATCTTCTTTGGTTGTGTCTGTACAGCTGGGCAGGCTAGACATCAAAATCACAGTAAAAGCCAACACTGCTGGTGCACACCTATCATCCTAGCGACTCAGGAGGCTGAGATCTGAGGATCCAGCTTTGAAGCCAGCTGGAGCCAGCAGTTCAAAGCCAGGCAGGGCAGGAAAAATCCATGAGACTCTTATCTCTAATGAACCACCAGAAAACCAGAAGTAGAGCTGTGCCTCAAAGTGGTAGAGTGTTAGCCCAGAGCAAAACAGTTGAGGGACAGCACCCAGGCCCTGAGTTCAAGCCCCATGACCAACAACAACAAAAAATCACTGTAAATGCTTAAGAGTCTGGTCCCCCAGAATTCAGTCTTCAAAGCCTAATTGATTAGGGGTGGTAGACCATAGGAGCAGAGATAAGGACCCCCACCTCATCCGCTGTACACACTGCAATCCAGAAATTCTTACATCTAAAGACTTCAACAGCCGGGTGCTGGTGGCTCATGCCTGTCATCCTAGCTACTCAGGAGGCTGAGATCTGAGGATCACAGTTTGAGGCCAGCCCAGGCAGAAAAGTTCAGGAGATTGGTATCACCAGTGAACCAGCAAAAAGCCAGAAGTGGAGGTGTGGCTCCAGTGGTAGAACCGCAACCTTGAAAAAGAAAACTCAGAGGACAGGCCCTGAGTTCAAGCCCCAGTACTGGCACCAAAGGAAAACAAAAAATCGACTTCATCGTGCATCAGCCTCTCTCGGAGAACGTTGATTATTTCTCAGTTAGCAGACTCTTGTCTCCAAATCTAAACATTCAAAAATCATAACTGGGTCTCACATTCCATATTTTCCTTTTGCCATATGTAATAAATGTGTCAGGGGCAGGCACTCATGACTCACCTGTCATCCCAGCTGCTCAGGAGGCTGAGATCTGAGGATCATGGTTTGAAGCCAGTACAGGAAAAAAGCCCATGAGACTTTTTTGATTTTTTTGGTTGGTCATAGGGCCTGAACTCTGGGCCTGGGTGCTGTCTCTCAGCTCTTCAGCTCAAGGCTAGCACTCTACCACTTGAGCCACAGCACCACTTCTGGCTTTTTCTGCTTATGGGGTGCTGAGGAATCAAACCCAGGGCCTCAGGCATGCAAGACAAGCACTCTACCACTGAGCCACCTTCCCAGCCCCCAAGAGACTCCTATCTCCAATTAATCACCAGAGAGCTAGAAGTGGACCTGTGGCTCACTGAAGCCTTGAGCAGAAAAGGCTATGGGAGAGCTTAAGGCCCTGAGTTCAAGCCCCAGTACCAACACAAAATACATAAAGTCAGGTGAGGCACACATAGGGAAACTAGAAACACATAGGGAGCTAATGACTCAAGCCTGTAATCCCAGCTACTTAGAGGAGGCCAGGATCTGAGGATCACAGTTTGAGGCCAGCTTGGACAGGAAAGTGTAACTTTGCCTCTACAAGATAAGAGAATCGTGGGCCAGGTGTGTAGCTGGCATGCTTGGGCTTCGCCCACAGATGCAGGGGGACAGTCATTTGGGTAGTTCCGGCTGGAGGCCAGGTGAGCCTTTCAGAGGCCGTAATCCTTAGGGCCCCAAAAGTTTAAAGGCAAAGAATGTCCCCCGCCCCCTCAGAGGATGGGTAGAGACAGGTGTGAACTTGGGGCACAAAGACCGAGCCCTCCTAGCTCTGTGTCAGTCCTGGGATTTGAATTCAGCGCTGGAGTGTTGTCCCTTACCTTTTTTTTTCGATCAAGGCTGGTGCTCGACCATTTGAACCACAGCTCCACTTTGAGCTTGCTGCAGGTCCATTGGCAATCAGAGTCTCACAGATTTTCCTCACTGGGCTGGCTTTGAACCGCGATCCTCAGACCTCAGCCTCCTGAGTAGCTAGGATGACAGGCGTGAGCCAAAGGCCCAGGAAAGACACATCCAGCTGGAGAGGAAGGAGGTGCATCTGCCAGGGCACAGAGCCAGCGTCCTTCGGGGCTGTGTCAACCTGACCACAGCCTATCACTGACGAAGGATAGCCATTGAAGGCGGGGTTTCCAATTTCTTTTCCTTATTTTAGGTGCCAGTCCTGGGGCTTGAACTCAGGGCCTGGGCGCTGTCCCTAACCTTCTTCAGCTCAAGGCTAGCGCTCTACCACTTGAGCCACAGCACCACTTCTGGCTTTTTCTGTGTCTGTGGTACTGAGGAATCGAACCCAGGACTTCATGCATGCTAGGCAAGCACTCTACCACTAAGCCGCCTTCCCAGCCCCACCCCTCTTTTTTTAATCCATTCAGGTGGCCTTGGCTTGTGCCTGTCATCCTAGCTACCTACTCAGGAGGCTGATGTCTAAGGATGGCAGTTCAAAGCCAGCCCAGACAAGAAAAATCCGTGAGACTTCATCTCTAATGAACCATGGGGGGAAAAAAAAAAAGCCAGGGGCTGGGCAGGTGGCTCAGTGGTAGAGTGCTTGCTTAGCATGCATGAAGCCCTGGGTTCGATTCCTCAGTACCACAGACACAGAAAAAGCCAGAAATGGCGCTTGTGGCCCAAGTGATCAAGTGGTAGAGCGCTAACCTTGGCAAAGGAAGCTCAGGGACAGCACCCAGGCCCTGAGTTCAAGCGCCAGGGCCAGAAGTAGAGCTGTGGGTCAGGTAGTAAAGTGCTAACCTTCAGCAAACAGGCTCAGGGCCAACGCCTAGTCCCCGAGTTCAAGCCCCACAACTGACCAAAAAAAAATCCAATTTGGATTTCAACGGTTTACACCTGCCACTCTAACGGATCAGGAGGCTGGAGATCTAAGGATCGGGAGTTCAAACCAGCCTATGCAGGATGCTCTTGAGATTTCCTCTCCCATGGGTCACAAAAAAAGCCAAAAGTGGAGTTGTGGTGCAAGTGGTAGAGCGCCAGCCTTCGGGATGAAAAAGTGTAAGGACCGCGCCTGGGGCCTGAGTTTAAGTCTGTGCGCGCGTGTGTGTCTGTGTGCATGTATGTGTGCACGTGTGTGCGCGCGTGCGTGTGTCTGTGCGTGTGCATGTGTGCGTGCGTGCGTGTCTGCGCGCGTGTGTCTGTGTGTGTGCGCGTGTGTATGCATGCATGCATGCGTGCGCGCGCATCCCAGCCCCTCTCCCCTCGCGCGTTCCGCAGGGCAAGTCCTTCATCAAAGACGCGCTCCGGTGCAAGGCCCACGCCCTGCGCCACCGGTTCGGCTGCATCAGCCGCAAGTGTCCGGCCATCAAGGAGATGGTGTTCCAGCTGCAGCGCGAGTGCTACCTCAAGCACGACCTGTGCGCCGCCGCCCAGGACAACATCCGCGTCATGGTGGAGATGATCCACTTCAAGGACCTGCTGCTCCAGGAGTGAGTGCGGCGGGGGCGGGGCCGCGGGGGCGGGGCCGCGGGGTGGGGACGGGGGCGGGGCCTGAGGCCAGGGCGGGGCCGCGGGGGCAGGGCGGGGCCGGAGGCAGGGGCGGGGCTGCGGGGTGGGGCCAGGGCGGGGCCTAAGGCGGGGGCGGGGCCGGGTGGGACTTCGGGGCGGGGCCGGAGGCCAGGGCGGGGCCGGGTGGGGGGCGGGGCTGGAGGCCAGGGCGGGGCCGGCGGGGGCGGGGCCTGAGGCCAGGGCAGGGGCGGGGCTGGAGGCAGGGGCGGGCCTGTGGGGCGGGGCCGGAGGCGGGGGCGGGGCAGGGGCGGGGCGGCGGGGGCGGGGCTGCGGGGTGGGGCCAGGGGGGCGGGGACGGGGGCGGGGCCTGAGGCCAGGGCAGGGGCGGGGCCGGAGGCCAGGGCAGGGGCGGGGCTGTGGGGCGGGGCCGGAGGCCAGGGCGGGGCCGGGTGGGGGCGGGGCTGGAGGCCAGGGCGGGGCCGAGTGGGGGGCGGGGCGCCGCGGTAGAGTCTAGGTGAGGCCCCGGGTTCGATTCCTCACCACCACCTACACAGAAAGAGCCAGAAGTGGCGCCTGGAGCAAAAGCCGCTCCAGGACAGCGCCCAGGCCGAGTTCAAGCCCCAGGACTGGGTCCCACCCCACCCCCAAAAAAGGAGTAACTGGCCTGCAGGGAGGCAGCCTTGGAGGCCCCTGGAGGCAGGCAGGGGAGGCCTGCCCGTGGAGGCTGGACTCCATGCAGTGAGGACCGTTGGGTTTTTTCCTTGGGGGTTCAGCAAAGCTGCACGCGTGCTTTCCTGGCTCGTTTTCAAGTGAATGTGGGTTCCTTCCTCCACTTGTTTGTTTGTTTTGCTTTTGGTGTTGTGCTGGTACCCGGATTTGAACTCGGGGCCCCACACTCTGAATTGGTTCACACTCCCCAAGGACTGCGCTCTGTCCCTTGAGCCACGGCCTCCCTTTTGGCTTTTTTAGCTGGTTCACTGCAGATAAGAGGCTGGCGGACTTTCCCGCCCCAGGCTGGCTTCGAACCACCGTCTCCTGATCTCAGAGCCGCCGCCGCCCCGGCTCCCGTCCGTTCTCTACCCGAACCCCCTTCTACCCGCCCCCCAAACATCGGGTGATCTTCGCGGTGAGCCCCGCCCCCGCCTGCTTCCTGGCTGTGGGGGGCTGGCAGGCTGCGGGGCTTTGTTGGAGTCTGGGACACAGAGCGCCCCCCACCCCACCCCTGCGCATTTTTGGGAATCCTTTGGGCTCGCTGACACCCAATTGAGCAAGCTGGTTTTTGTCATCACTCACAGGCCCGGCCTGCAGCTTCTGTGGGCGCCATGCCAACTCCAAAATGAGGCTTGGATGAACTGGCTTTGGCAACTTCCCATACAGCTCCCCCCCCCCCCCCAGGGTGCAGCTTCGGCCGGCTCAGGCCGCTTCCCGCGAGGAAGGGAAGCTAACGAAGGGAATCTCACGCCTGTAATCCCAGCCACTCATCGCGGTTCAAAGGCAGCCCCGCGCGGGAGAGTCCAGGAGGCCCTGGGTGGCTGCTCCTGCCTGAGCTCCCCGAGGCCCCGCGCTGGGCTGCCCCTGGGCTCGGCTGGCACCCGCGCCCCGGAGCCCCAGCCAGGGCCTGGCCTCGCGGGCCGAGCCTTCGCTCGGAGAGAGCCGGGGGACGGGCCCGGGCCTGGCCTCGCGGGCCGATCCTCCGCGCACGGCCTTCGGGGAGCTGGGGGACAGGCCCGGGCCTGGCCTCGCGGGCCGATCCTCCGCGCGCGGCCTCCGGGGGACGGGCCCGGGCCTGGCCTCGCGGGCCGATCCTCCGCGCGGCCTCCGGGGGGCGGGCCCGGGCCTGGCCTCGCGGGCCGATCCTCCGCGCGCGGCCTCCGGGGAGCCGGGGGACGGGCCCGGGCCTGGCCTCGCGGGCCGATCCTCCGCGCGCGGCCTCCGGGGAGCCGGGGGGACGGGCCCGGGCCTGGCCTCGCGGGCCGATCCTCCGCGCGCGGCCTCCGGGGAGCCGGGGGACGGGCCCGGGCCTGGCCTCGCGGGCCGATCCTCCGCGCGCGGCCTCCGGGGAGCCGGGGGACGGGCCCGGGCCTGGCCTCGCGGGCCGATCCTCCGCGCGCGGCCTCCGGGGAGCCGGGGGACGGGCCCGGGCCTGGCCTCGCGGGCCGATCCTCCGCGCGCGGCCTCCGGGGAGCCGGGGGACGGGCCCGGGCCTGGCCTCGCGGGCCGATCCTCCGCGCGCGGCCTCCGGGGAGCCGGGGGGAGGACAGGCCCGGGCCCGCGCTCAGCGCTCTCTCTGCTCCCCAGACCCTACGTGGACCTGGTGAACCTGCTGCTGACGTGCGGGGAGGCGGTGCGCGCGGCCGTGACCCACAGCGTGCAGGCGCAGTGCGAGCAGGCCTGGGGCGGCCTCTGCTCCATCCTGGGCTTCTGCACCTCGGCCGTCCGGAGCCCGCCCACGGCGCCCCCCGGCCGCAGCGCCGAGACCGGCCGCGGCGCCCGGGCCCAGAGCGGCAGCCCGAGCCCACCCGAGCACCCGGATGTGCCCAGGTGAAAGGGCGAGAGGGACGCCCCGCCCGCCCGCCCGCGCAGGCGCCGGCCACGGACGTTCCGAAGCCGCTGCCGTTGGAGGGGTCGTCGGACGGTGCCGCGCGCGGAGCCTTCTGGGTACCGGAGAGCTGGCATGCCCCCCACCTGGCGCCCCACGCACGCGTGACTCCGCCCCCTGCCCTCCGCGGACGGAGCCCAGGGCCGCACTCCCGCAGGAGCGGCCGCGGCGGTGGGAGGGGCCGAGGCGCTTAGGCCACGCCCTCGTCTTGCCGTAAAGCCACGCCCCATCCACAAACAGGCCCTCCCCCTTTCCAGGTCTGCCCAGGCCCTCATCTGCATAAGCCCCGCCTACCCACGGGCCTCGCCTCCTCCGCATAGGTCCGTCCCCCTTCATCTGCATAGGCCCCGCCCCTGGCCCGCTGGGCCCCGCCATTCGGGAAGGATGGAGACAGGCTGCGGGTGAGGCCTGCTGCGCTCCCTGACCTTGGGGTTCGGGGTCAGCCCGTGACCTTGGGGTTCGGGGCTGCTTGGGGGGGGGGCGTGCGTTTTCTGAGCCGTCGATCCGGGTGTTCCCTTAACCACTGCGCCTCGCCCGCCTCCTCTCCTGGGTTTCCTTAGTTTACCCATCCGCAGTTGTGTGGCTGTGGAGCGGAGCGCGGAGGCCGGGAGGCCCGGAGGCCCGGGGCCCTGCTCCCCGCGGCGGAGGCCAGGCGGGAGGCCCGGGGCCCTGCTCCCCGCGGCGGAGGCCCGGAGGCCCGGGGCCCTGCTCCCCGCGGCGGAGGCCGGGCGGCCCGGGGCCCCGTTGCTAGTGCCCTGGGGCCTGTCGGTGGCCGGTGCCCACCTGAGGCAGAGCTGGGACCCCGAGGGAAACTGAGGCAGGCAGCTGCCCCCGCCGGGGGTTTCGCTCTCTGGCCTGCCTTGGCCATCAGGGGAGTTCTGGAAATCTCTTAAGGGACAGAGAGCAGGGCTAAAAGAGACCAAAGGCGGGGGGGGGGGGGGGTGCAGAGAGAGCAGGAAGCACGCGTGGACCTCGCTCCCTGGGAGGCTGAGGCCGGAGGCTCGCGGAGGGAGGCCAGCCTGGAGGCCGAAAATCCCGAGACTCCTTCTCTTCCCTCTCTCTCTTATTGAACCAGCGAAAAGTGGTGGGGCTGTGTGGCTCGGGTGGTAGAGCACCAGCCTCGGGCAGGACTGGCACCCCTCCACGATCCAGTCCAGCTCTCTCCTTGCTGTGTCCTAATAGGAGCCAAAGATGGGCAGACGTCCCGGGGCAGGTTTCTGTAGACTAGGGAGGTCATTAACCAGCTTTTTCTATAAATGCGACCTTTTTTTTTTCAGTTTGACAGGTCATAGGGTTTCTTTGGGAGCTGTCGCCTCTGCCAGCGGAGCCTCGAAAGCATTCCAATGAGAGCTGGGCTCCGTCCCAGTGCATTTTTTTTATTTCACAAGACACCCAGCTAGCTCTGGCGTACACGCCATTGTTTGCTGTCCCTTACCCTAGGTACGAGCCAAAAGAGAAAAAAAAAAAATGCATCCTGCCTGTCTGCCTTTGTTAACCTGAAGCTAAATTTATCCAGGCTTAAATGATTTGCTTTAAAGGCAAAAAGTCTCCCGAAGCTTAGCCAGTGTTTCTATGCAAAACGGGGGTGGGAGGGGGGGGAGAAATAAAATGAAATCCAACCTGAATCTCACTCACATCCACGATGTTGGGTGAATGACAGGCCCAGGAGAAACATCTAGAAAGATCTGGGGGGGTTGTAGCAAGCAGATCAGGTGGATTTCACTCCGCCCTGGGTCATTGTGGCGTGGTCAGGGCTTGTCACTCCAAAACGAATCCAGCACCATGTCTGTAGCTCACGCCTGTCATCCCAGCTACTCAGGAGGCTTGAGATCTGAGGATCATGGTTGAAAGCCAGCCCCCGGCAGGGAAATCCATGAGACTCTGATCTCCAACGAACTACCAAAAAACAACCACCCAGAAATGGAGTTGTGGTTCAAGGGGTAGAGCACCAACTTTGAATTAAAAAACAAAACTCAGGGACAGAGCCGAGGTCCTGAGTTCAAGCCCCAGGACTGGCACCAAAAAAGAAACCAGTTATGTTCTGAATTGCAGGCTTGACCATTCACTGGTGCCTACCTGGTGTGCAAATGTATCTCTTTATCACCTACTGATATCTTCATTATGTCTCTTGTAAATATTCCTCATTTGTATTTATTTGTGTCCCCACTCCGAAGGCATAAAATGACTCATGGTATAATTTCTCATGCTGCTGATTGCATTTCTTTCTTCTTTTTTTTTCCTCTTCAAACATCTGAAGAGACAGTCCAGCCCCCTTAGCTCACGCCTGTCATCCCAGCTACTCAGGAGGCTGAGATTTAAGGACCAGGATTCAAAGCCAGCCTGGGCAGGAAAGTCTGTGAGACTTTTTTTCTTTTTCCTTCTTTTTTTTTTTTTTTGGCTGGTCCTGGGGCCTGAACTCTGGGCCTGGGCGCTGTCCCTCGGCTCTTCAATTCAAGGTGAGCCCTCTACCACTTGAGCCACAGCGCCACTTCCAGCTTTTTCTGCTTATGTGGTGCTGAGGAATTGAACCCAGGGCCTCATGCCTACAAGGCAAGCACTCTACCACTGAGCCACCTTCCCAGCCCTCTTTCTCTTTTTTTTTTTTTGTCATTCATGGGGCTTGAACTCAGGGCCTGAGCGCTGTCTCTGAGCTCTGCAGCTCAAGGCTAGCACTCTACCACTTTGAGCCACAGCTTCATTTCCTATTTTCAGGTGGGTCATTGGAGATAAGAGTCTCATGGACTTTCCTGCCCTGGCTGGCTTTGAACTGTGATCCTCGGATCTCAGCCTCCTGAGTAGCTAGGATGACAGGCATGAGCCACCAAAAGCCTAAAAGCTCAGGGGCAGGGCCCAAGCCCCGAGTTCAAGCCCAAGGACTAGCACCAAAAAAAGGTTTCAGTCTAATTCTTCACGTGACTATGCATGTGATCGTATTTATTGTCGAGTGGTTGGGTTTTAGGGAGGTTTTTTTTTGTTATTGATGATTTTGTTTTGTTTTTTCTCACCACCGACTTAAGTTCCCGCGAGCTTTGCTTACACGATTTCAAGTATAAGCAAAGCCATCATTAAAAACAGCCCCCCCCTCCTTCATACAAATTCCTTCCGGCGAGGAAGGATGTGGCCTCCAAATAAAGCTGCAGTGTTTACCTCGTGTCTCAACTGAACACATCTCTCCTTTGTAGCAATAAATAGCCCAGGATTCTGAGAAGAAACAAATCCCAAGACTCAAGTGGGAAGGGAAATAAAAAGGTGGGGGGCTGAGCTGGCCACAATGGCTCACGCCTGTCATCCCAGCTACTCAGAAGGCTGAGATCTGATGATTCAGGTTCAAAGCCAGCCTGGGCAGGAAAGTCCCTGGGAGACTCTTTAATCTCCAACAAACCAGCAAAAAGCTGGAAGTGGAACTGTGGCTCAAATAGCAGAGCCCAGGCTTTGAGTTTGAGCCCTAGGACTGGCACAGAGCGTGAATTAGTGAATGAATGAATGAACTGCACACACGTGCAGTCCTAGCCGTCAGTTTGGATAACCCTTCTGATCTCACACTTGCAGCCCGTGGCTTTGCTGAGGGTGGTTATGTGTTTCTATGATGACATCGGCCCCCTGGTACATTGTCACGCCTCCAAACACTCAGAAGGGTTTTGAATCGATGGCTGGTGCTTCGGCAGCCACATTGTCGTAAGTGGACAGCTGTAAATAGCTGATCCTGGCGAGCCCCCGTCTCTGGGGAAGCTGCAGGTGCCAACAGTCGAGTGGCCCCCGGGGAGGGTCCCCTTCCCAGAGCTCGAACTCCTGTGTGCCTGCTCTCGGCCAGGCACCGCCCGAGACACCAGTGTCTTACTATTCCCTCCTGACCACTCCACTTGTGCAAGGGAAAGGATAATTATTACTCTTTATTTATAGCCCAGGGCTGACACTACAGAACATAGGAAAGAGTGTTTTTAACACGAGGGAGGAAAGAAAAGCACACAGAACACAGAATTGTGGAGTCCTTTTGCTTGTCTGTGTCCGCCGGTCCTGGGTCTTGAACTCGGGGCCTGAGTGCTGGCCCTGAGCTTTTCCATTGCTTCCACTCGAGGCTGGCGCTCTGCCCCTTGAGCCACCCAGCTCTGCTTGTGCCATCGGGCCGGTTCGCTGGCGATCGGCGTCTCCCTGGCCTTCCTGCCCCGGGCCGGCCTTGGAGCTCCAGACTCGGCCTCCAGCGGCGCCCGATCAAAGCCAGGCCTAAGGCTGTCACGGGGGAGAGGAGACCCGCCTGCTGCCCGGCCCGAGCTTACCTGGCCACCAGACTTGAGGGTGTTAGACAGACCCAGCCGGATCATTCCAGAAGGAACTGGAGGAAGGCCTGCCCAGGACATTAAATATCCGGGGGTTGCGGGTGGCAGCGTCCAGTGTCCAGGGGTTTAAGCCGAGGAGGCGTGAGACGCGCTGCGGGTGCAGCCGGGGGCGGGGCTTCGGGTAGAGCTGGGGCGGGGCTTCAGGTAGAGCCGGGGGTGGAGCCGGGACCGGGGCGGGGCTTCAGGTAGAGCAGGGGGTGGGGTGGGACCCGGGGGAGGAGCTTCAGGTAGAGCAGGGGGCGGGGCGGGACTGGGGGCGGGGCTTCAGGTAGAGCCGGGGGCGGGGCTTCAGGTAGAGCCGGGGGTGGGGCGGGACCCGGGAGAGGAGCTTCAGGTAGAACCGAGGGCGGGGCTTCAGGTAGAGACAGGGTGGGGCCGAGACCCGGGGGAGGAGCTTCAGGTAGAGCTGGGGGCGGGACTGGGGCGGGGCTTCAGGTAGAGCAGGGGGTGGGGTGGGACCCGGGGGAGGAGCTTCAGGTAGAGCCGGGGGCGGGGTGGGACTGGGGGCGGAGCTTCAGGTAGAGCGGGGGGCGTGGCTTCAGGTAGAGCCCCCCGGCTGGGAGTCGGGGGCGGGGCTTCAGGCAGAGCCGGGGGCGGGGTGGGACTGGGGGCGGGGCTTCAGGTAGAGGCGAGGGCGGGGCCGTCGGCGCCGCGCAGGCGCCCGGTCTCCCGGCTTGGCCCCGCTTCTCTCCACACCGCAGGCCCGCCCATTCATTCTTCCCTCCAGCCGGGCCCCAGGGGCTCACGCCTGTCCTCCCAGCAGCTCCGTGCGGACAACCCGCGGAAAGCGGGGCTGGAGGCGTGGCTCCGGGGGTCGAGCACCGACCCGGCAAGCGGAGGCGCTGAGTTCAAGTCTTTTTCCTTTTGGCCCTAGACTTGGAACTCGAACTCGCTGCCTGACGCTTTCGCCCCCTGGCTGGCGCTCTGCCAACCGAGCCAGGCCTCCCGCCCCCGAGGTCAAGTCTCGATGGTGGCAAGACTAACAAAAACCGGGGGTGGTGGCGTGGCTCAGGGCGTAGAGCACTAGCCTGGAGAGAAAAAAAGGCAGGCACACGCCCAGGCCCTGAGTTCAAGCCCCAGGACCGACAGGAAGGACAACGCAAGCTCGTGTTGAACCTGCGCGGTCCGAGGCAGCTGCTGGCGGCGGCGGCGGGTCTCACCCCTCCTGATGCGCGCAAGTGCTGCTGCGCGGGCACGCGCACGCGCGCGGGTCGGGCACGCGCACGCGCCTCCGCCTCCCTCTTCCCCGTGTCTTTCTCGGGGCTTGTTTTTTTCCTTTTACTCTATTTCCTTTTGATCACACGGATCAGAGAAAAAGCATTGGGTCCTCGTCCTGCGGTGTCCGGCCTCGCTGGCCCAACGGGATGTGCGCCCGCTCCGGGAGAGGAGTTCGTGCTTCCTGGCTGTATAGCACTCCACCATACATGCATGCACACACACATCCGTCCTGACGGGCTAACCCCTCGACAGCCAGGAGACCCC